AAATCCTGTCAGGTCATGATCCCCAGGTGAAGGATCAGTGCGAAGCAAGGGACATAGAGACAGACAAGAAGATCTAAAGAACCAACTGCAAATGCCAGGCTGTGTTTGCAAGCAGGAGACCTTCCCCTCTGCAGTGTGGGTAACACTGAGGAAGACACAGACACTACAGCAGCAAGGACAAACGTCCAGAGGCAGTAAAACAGAATGGATAGGAGTGACAGACCTAGCAAAAATGACGTCTCCTATGTATGGGAAATGCAATATTTCCTACACTTCTAACTTTCAACTCAAGCCATATGGCAACGAAATAGATCTTAGAAATCTTCAGTGAACCAGAAAATGACAGAAAAGTTTATTCCAGAAACAAAAAAACACAGTGATTCCAAACACAGCTTGTTATCCCGACCCTGCAGCTGATTAAGCAAATTAAGATTGTAAGTCTGTGAAATAGTAAAGACTTTTTGATGGAGGCATGACTTCAGGAGTTAGCTATGGGAAGGGCGGCGGGTGGGAGCATTGCTGTAGTTCTTGCCGTCGGTGCCTCTGGCTTTGTGGAACTTACATGGTGCAGCAGTGGACCCTGCTCCGGCTGCGCTGGCATTGGAAGCACGCCTTTGGTCCTCCAGGTGGTACCAAATTTGTGCAGTCTTCCATCTTTAACACAACCTGCACACGCATGCACAAAATGAAAGGCTTAACTTCAGTTTTATGCTGTTAGTTACTTAGTTCAGTGACCTCTTTTTCGGGGGAAAGCTCAGTTAATTCTGTGTATACCTCATCTACACTCTATTTCAGCTCTATTTAGAGAGCATGAGCTTGTTTCCATTTTCTAAACTTGCTAGCCACTGATTCCATGAAGATAAAGTGCAGTGGTTGGATATTATTGCTGCATGGACTCACTGCAGACTGGGGTGAGGAGAGCAGCCGCAGAACGCTTCAGCAAAACCCATGGCGTATCTTGGTGTTGGGATCTCTTTTCTTCCCCGCTGTTGTTTTCCACTGTCGTGTATAAAATCCTGCTTCCTCCTATTTCTTGCTCTACACCCTTCCTGTCTGCTCCTGATGGGCAGCAACTAGAACAGAACAACACCGAGTTGTCCTGATGGGCTGTCGTGACTCTTATCTCTGGCAGGTTTCACCAGAATCGTGCCTGGGCTGTTTAGTTCGTAACAACAGTATGCATTGCACAGTGGTGTCACGAAGGAAGCCCAGGAAACACTGCTGTAAAAACCCCACAATGTCCGCAACACTGTCTGTGTCTGTGACTTCTTGAAAGTATTTTAACAGTTACTGAGAGCATACTTGTGCTAGAAGAATTCCTTTCCCCCTCTTTGAGAAAGCAAACAGGAATCACAGCGCCTGAAAGGCAACACTGAACAGACTTCATGTAATTTTTTTCACAAAATTACAGCTGGCATTTTATTTTTGTTATTCCTTCAAATGTGAAATAGGTTGCAGCTCAAATGCATGTATGGTATTGCCATGGCTCTCTGATCACGTACATGTCCACAGATTGACTCCAAGTGCTATGAAATCTTAAGAATCTGAAATTTGGACTTATCATGATAATAATGGGATGTTTCTAAGGAGCTCTTGTACGGTCTGCCCGGTGTTTTCTGCAGAGGTGAATATAAAAATGGCAAAAACTTACTCTTCAGTGTCTTACCAAGCAAATCAAATGCAAAGATATTTCGGGTTTGGAGAGGTTCTGTTGAGATTTCTGAGGAAGTTACCAAAATTTTACTAGTAATCAACAAGTGGGTTTATTGCTGTGAAGGATGGAAAACTGAACTGGTGTATCTCTATATTTCTGCCCTACACATTTCCTTCATCTTTGGTGGTATGAAAATAATGAAAAGGATCCAAAACAGGGTGTGAGTGAGACATCCTCCTGCTTTCCTGCAGCCGGATCATTCCATGATGAAAAAACAATACTAAAAATTACCTGTGGCAATGCTGTTAAGCATTTTGCCTCTCAGTAGACAGGCTTTCCAGTTTATAGCAAGAGAAATTCAAGATTCCTGAGCTTCATTGCTAAAATTGTTTTATTAAGGGGGGGGGGGGGGGGGGAGTAGTGCCAGCTACTCTGGCAATAGAAAACCCAATATGATTGCAAATTGAACTAAAAGATCTCATTTTTTAAAACATCTGGAGGGAATTTCTGTGTCTCAATGAAGCCAGACTATTCTCTGGAGCCTCTAGGTCAGTTCTCTCTACATTTCCTTGGCCTGGCAAACTCACCAGAACTCATTTTCTTGCTTCTCCAGTGGCAGCTTTTGCTTGTGCTGGGCTGTTCAGATTCTGCTTTAAGTACCTGTGGTGGAGGAGTTGCCCTTGCTGTGGAAGGTAGCTTCCCCACCCATGGATAACTTTTGGAAGGATGTGCCAATCACATTGGTCAAATGTGCTGGTTCTTCCCCGTCCCATAACCTCAGTGAATACATTAAGCATGAGAGCCAAAGCCTGTGCTAGGTTTCTTGTATCAGTCACTCATGCTTCTGCTGGTGCTGTCAGCAAATCAGAAATCTTGCACTGAGAAAGTCGTCTTCATCTGGAAGAAAACTGGCGCCTAGATTCTACAGAAACTCTTGGGACTCTAGGAGGTAATAAGGCTCTGAACTATAAATGTCCAAATAATGTAATAAGTAGAATGAAATTCTATTTAATTTAAAAGTCAGCTAAGTATCTGTAAATTACTTAAAATATGAAGTCTTACTGAGGAACCACTAACATTAAGAACATGAATGTGACCTTACCAGATAATAAACTAATTTTCCTAAATTTCAGAAGAAAAGCATAGCCTTAATTTGTAAGACTCTGGTAGGGAAAAACTTGGAATACTGAAATAATTCCAGTATCACATGGCATAGTTACAGACCACAACAAACTGGATGTTAATCTTGATATGTGCACTTCTTATTGGTTCAAATTTAAAAAATAATCCATGAGGAACCTCCAAGTCACTGTTGTTAGCCATGAAAATGTTTATTTTAAAAAAAATGTGAAAACGGATTTTTATCAAGAAACTGTTCTGTAAGCTATTTAGGTAGGAAGCTTTTGGATCTCTATGCTCAAAATATTACTTCCCCTAAGAAGCTGCAGATGTTTGTTCTATAAGTAAGTGAGAACATTCCTTCAGGTACCAGTTGAGGCTGTGTTCTGGGTGATTTTGACATGAGATGGAAGAAAAGGGGACATTGAGGACAAGTTTCAAAACTCTTCCTCTCCTGCAAGATACGAAAACTCATCGGAGAAAACTTACCTTAGGACCTTAAGCAACATGAGAATGTTCATTTCCACATGCTGCTCTTTAGAGGAATGACATGATTAGATCAGTGAATGGGAGTCAGATTTTTAAAAGGCATACGCAAGTGTTTATACTGGAAAAAGCTGAACTGACCCTAATTCTGGCCCTCACATTTTTTCAGCCTTGCAAGAGGCAATTGTACAGAAACACGGAGTTATTGACTGATATCAAGTGATATCAAGATAGAGAACTTTAAAAGGCAAAGTATGTAATACTAGCACTTGCAAAATGTTTGGATTTTTTTCCCAAAAGGAGGTCTCTTAAGGGAAGAGGTCTCTTAAGCCATAGGAAAATTTAAAACAATGTTCACAGGCAAATTACCAGAAATAAAGCCAGGGAAAACATACCACCTTAAATTCTTCTGATTTTACTGATGGCTTGCAGAGCTTGAGATGGGTTGTCTTGAGAAGTCAGTGCCCCTGCTGAATAAATATAGGCTGACAATTGGTTTTCAGGTCAAGTGTGGATCCCTGCCCTAAGAATGCTCAGCTGTGTGCAACCTTGTACTTTTACAAGACAACAGACTTGTCAGGATTATGGAGCATCATTAAACAACCCACTTGTCCTGGAAGGTGTGTTTCTTTTCAAACCATACAACAGTTAACTGCAGACTGCTGTGTCTTTTCAATACTCAATTCTGGAGCGAAGAGGCCATGTAGAAGCAGCATTTTACAGGTATTGCTGCCTGGTCTCCTACATGTGGGCAGATTTATGATATTACCAATTGCGTGGTTCAGTTTTGAAGCCCATCACTGGCTGGAATTCTCTCCCCAGGGAATGTGAGGAATTTGCATACTGGAGAGCCAGAAGGCATCTGCCTTTTATTAGTACCTCAGGCTCTGCTGCCGTGAGGAAGCTGGTCTCCAGGGGCTGATCTAGATCTCTCTCTCTCTCTCTCTTTTTTTTTTTTTTTTTTTTAGTGTGGGCAAGAAGCACTAATGCAGCGTTGTGTGTGCAGGCTTCCAGGAGCGGGGCTCGGAAGAGGACACCTGGCAACAGGTCAGAGTGGGCAATGGAGAGAAACAGTCGCTGCTATTGGCTGATGACATTGCTGAAAAGAAGGGGGAAAAAAAAAGGCGAAAAAGGATAATGATCTTCCATCCTTACTGTTTTTCCATAGGTCGCAGGCGTTAGCGGCACAGGTCTTGACAAAGCTCCTGCAGCAGTTCAGGTGTGCCCTATGTGCCCAGCGTAGGAGCCATTGTACTGCATGTCCCAAACGGCGCATCTCTTCCAAATGATAACAGATTTTGACACCTGGTGAGTGAAAAAACCTGCTCTGGTCCTTGGCTGGAACAGAACATGCAAAGCGTGGGAACAGCTTGTGACAGGGCACGGGTGCACGGCATGTTGGAGCAGCGAGGTGAATGCATTCCTTTCTCAAAGAAGGTGACATTGCCTGGTGTTATTACATAAAAAGAACCATCATTATGAAGCATTTCTGGATGTTTCATCTGGATTTATTGTATTCGGAAAAGCTCAGTGATACCAATGCAAGTAATGACAGAAATGAGACATTGTATCTGATTATGCATCTTGTAGACTGAATTAGGACAATTAGGAGATTGAAAGTGAGCTGCTGAAGTACTCTCTTAAAATACCTCCCATGCCTTCAAGCTTCTCTGTGATGGCAAAACATCTGTAGGAAGGGAAGGAATTCCACAATGCAGAGAGGTTTGGAGCAGGTGGGTTGTTAGCCCACGCGAGAATAGACGACGCACTCCTTTGAGGGGTCACTTTTCTGCACCACGTCATAGTTGCAGCTTTTCTTGTTGAAAACAACTTTACAGTTCTCTTTGTCATAACCAATGGGGGTATGAAAGCTGTCATTGGCAAAAAGAAAGCAAATGTAAGATTGAGAACGATAAAACGTCCAATATTTCAGTGGTTCGGTGATTATAGCTTGAACTAGTGCTGAGATACCTCTGAAATTACAGCTAAAAGCAGCCTAGCTAGCAATCTACAGTGTGACATAAGCATGGTCTCAGCATGTTTTACTTCTTTTCCATTAGTTTTTCATCATTGCCAGTTTGCTTAGAATTTAATAGCTGTTTCCTGACAGATTGAGTGTCACCTGAGCAAAGGTGATGATCAAAATCAACCCCTTTTGGCCCTTCGAGAAGGTAGGATAAGAGGAAAGGAGGATGTTGGCGATAGATACTTCAGAGCAGAGCCTTTCTACTCTAGGGTCAGCATGTTCACTGGAGAAAAGCATCTCCAGAAAGGGATTCAGATCATCATAAAGCCCTTCAGAGGAGTTTCAGTTAAGAATTAATTCCTTCCTACCCCCACTTTCCCTGCTAAGGAAAGACTTAACTGCAGTGTAAGAGGGGTTCACAGGTTGCTCAAAATTAAAGGCAAGCCCCAAGTGGATGTGTATGGAAGGGCCTGTGTCCGTTCCCCATCAGCAGAAAGTGAGCTAAGGTAAACACAGTCAAGGATCCCAATGATCAAGAACTATACGTGGCTTGCCCTAGCACTGTGACGTGGGTGAGGAAAGGCTCTCTTGTGCCCTTAGAAACTCATTTATTCCCAGAAAATGGAAAGCTGTGGTCTTCCTGTGGGCAATGATGTTACCAAGAAGTTCAAACTTACAGGGAGCAGCAGCGCATTGCATCTTGGCTGCAGCTGCATCTGAAGCAATTTTCTGTCCTCGCGATCTCTCCAAAGGGGTATAGTTTTCCATCCAGGATACAGCCTGCGTAAGACAGCAGCAAAACAAAACATGTTCTTTAAGCCTCCACATAAAGGCTGTAAAGTTTAAAAATTACTGCAAATTTTCTGATTTTTTTTTTTTTTAGTAAAGTAGAGGTCATTTTGTTCTCTGGGCTATTTTGAGAGCCTGAACTTGTTTCTTCCTCACCTGCTAGAGACAGTTTCAGTGTGACAGATCTGGGGTGACAGTGAGCAACCAAACAGCCAGGTCTGCCACCTGGCATCACACTTTATTCAGAACTACCCTCAACTCCAGCATCAACTCCATGTGCTGGAATAGCAATAGCAGCCCACCACCACCAGCAACAGTATTGCTGCGACCATACCCAGTCCCGAGGAAGACTTTGTTTTTCCCTACTTTTAGAAAGTTGGTTCTGGAACCTCTTATTCATGTCTTTCTGACACCTCCCTCACTCCCTTGTATTTTGAGCCCTTCCTGGCAGCTCCACATAGAGCTGAGTTGCCACAGAACTATCAAGTGAGAGGACCTTCCCCGTTCTTACCTTTGTCAGACTCCCCTGGCTTGTTAATTTTAGAAAAACAGTATGCATCCGCCAGCGTCACTATGATGCCCACTGCAACAAGGAAAGCCAGAAAGCTCTTCTGTAAAAGAGACACAGAGCCCATGGCATGAATTTAACTCGACTTCGATTATCATAGGATCATAGAATAACTTGGATTGGAAGGGACCTTTTAAGGTCGTCTAGCCCATTACCTTTGCTTTCAAAAGCTGAGTCACTGAATCTGAAGCAAAAATCAAAAATAACCTTATGTGTACATGAAAATGTTGAAAAAAGGCACTCCAGATATTTCACTGCACTGATGACCTTTTACTTTAGGTGGCAAGAGACAAAATGATATGACGTAAATGTGTCAGCAGCATCACTCCCTGCCAAAGTCCAATCTCTAGAAATCACAAAAATCTTCAATAGTATTATACACTTGAAAGCCCTGTCAGACTCTTATTACTGCTTTATTTATTGCCTTTGAGTCATATTTAGCTATTCTTCCAGCAAATCACTGTCTGTATGGTATCCCATTGCTTCACGTTTGGGTACAGCAATTTCTCTAAATTTGGTGGTGGAGTGGAGATCTCAAACCTAATTCTATTCCAGTAAGTTTTTGGAAATAGGTGGCTGGGTAGAGAAGAGACACACAAATTAGTGTCTTAGGGCAAAATGCTAGTGCTGTATATTCTGTTGTATATTCCGCACCGCAGCGCGTGAGTCATCTTGTCAAACCATGCACACACGTCTGTAGGAGCCTTCAGAGATGTCGCTGGGACCTGCTGAAC